CCATTGTTGCCTCTATACGAGGGCGGGCTGGCCGAGGTGGGGGAGGGGGAGGAGCCAATACACATGGGGAGCCAGCTTTTAAGCCAGCTCTCCTCACATTCCTCTTGGGGAGGGGGGACAGGGAAGACTGCTGCAGAGCAGCCTCTGTCCGCAGCGGGCCCAGGCTCAGAGACAGCTCTGTGTGATGCTGGTGCAGCCTCTGCACCTGGGGAGCTAGGGCCCCCCGCAGATAGAGGCTTCTGGCTCTGATACAGAGGCGGCAGAGCAGGGTGGCTCCCCGGGAGTGGGGCTGGGAGCGCACTGGCTGCGGGGCCCGCTCCTGGGGACTATCGAATAGTCAAGTCACCACTACTGTTTTGTCCAGTTACATGACTATTCAGTTCATCGCTGTCTAACATCCCTACAGGTCATGATGAAACGTTAAGGCAACATGACGCTCCTTTCAGTAAGCGAGGCAGGCACATGGGCTTGGGGGCAGGAAATCGCGTGTTCTTACCCTACCGGCTTTGCCACTGACTCGGCCTGTGACCCTGAGCTAGTCCCTTTGCCTCTCTTGGCCTTGGCTTCTCCATCAGTAGCAAGGGGACAATAACACTGTGTAGGGTGTGTGTATCCTATCGACTTAGCTGGTAACTGAACCGAATGGCGGTAAACCAGGGCCGCTCTGTGGAGATGCCTGGCCGAAGATTAACTTCTGCGGCGTATTTATTCCAAAAAGCGATGTTTGCAGCCCAAAACCTTGTTATTTTTTCCAGCCCCCGGGAGACTTTATGAGGTGAAGCTGGTGGCGTTCAATAAGCACGAAGACGGCTATGCGGCTGTATGGAAGGGCAAAACAGAAAAGGCACCCGTGACGGCCGTAGGTAAGAAATATCCCCATGACTCGCAACCTTCTGCCCGCATGTCCAGCTCTCTTCTGCTCTGCCCCTGGTTCTGATGGCGCGAACAGGACACAGAAACGGAGGCAGACCAAGAGACGGCTCTAGCCCTGGTGTGCAACGTGCTCATTCCCCATTGAGAAGTAAGGGGGCTTTCCAAACTCTCAGAGCCACCAAAAATTGTTTCTTGGGCTGCGGCTGAAGAGTTCAGCATGTTATGGGATCAACCTTAATTATTCAGAGTAAAGCATCTTAGAGCAGGGAATGTCTCCCCTCTGTGTTACTACAATTGGTTGCCACTGCACTTAGATGGTCTGCATCCCTTCGGGTCCCTCTCCTGCCCCTGTAGCCCTTTCCCAGAAACTCGGGGGGAGCTGTGCTGGAAATGCAAGCTAGCTCTAGGTTCCACCCATTGTGCAGGGAAGGTCCAGCTGGCAGCATAGGCCCAGGAGTGGCCCTCTGGGGACCTGGGTTCTATTCCCAGGTCTGACACCAATCTGTTGTAGCAGGCCCTTTAATCCTGCTCCTTGGGCCTCTCTCTCTGCTCCTGCCCTTTGTCTGTTTAGAGTTTAAGCTCTTTGGGGAGGAACTTTTTCGAATTCCATGTTGGTACCTCACCCTAGCACGGTGGGGCCTCTCGTGGCTGTTGTCCTGCAACACATAAATCAAATGCAGCTACCAGGCCGAGTTTTTGAAGTGTAATACAAATTTGTTTCTAAATGTGCCAAAACTACAAATTTGGTGGTCTCATTTGTACAGTGCCTAGCACCATGTTGTCCTGGTTCAAGACTAGGGCTCTTGGGCATTAGGATAATACAGATACATAATAATACAGACATGCACCAGTTTCTGTTTGTCTGGAAATGGGTGACAGGAGAGGGATCATGTGTGGATTAGCTGTTGTGTTCCCTCCCTCTGGGGCACCTGGGATTGGCCACTGTCAGAAGACAGGATACAGGGCTAGATGGACCTTTGGTCTGACCCAGTGTGGTCATTCTTGTGTTCTTATTATTTCTTTCCCTTCGTGGTGAAATTAGGCTATTCTTGCAATCCCCAAAGCATCTTGTGTGTCTATTCATGATGATTGTGTGGCCCAACACTATTTTATCTGATCACCTGACAACCTTTAGTGGATTTCTCCCCACACCGCTGACAGGCAGGGCTGTTATCCCCATTACACAGATGGGAAACTGAGGCAGAAGGTAACGAAGTGACTTGCCCGAGGTCACAAAGGAAGCCTGTGGCGGAACAGAGAATTTCTCCCATGTCCCAGGCTAGTGCTCTAACCACTGGGCCCCTCTTCCTCTTCATTCATAAGCATGAATATTTGTCTCCCATGCCTCTGATACTTGGGTATTTCTTTCTTCTTTCTGTACCATAGACCCGCCAGTTCAGAAGGGCCCCCCACTGCCCCCAGCCCATGTCTATGCAGAGTCCAACAGTTCAACCTCAATTTGGCTCAGATGGAAGAAACCAGACTTCACAACTGTCAAGATTGTCAATTACACCGTGCGTTTCAGCCCTTGGGGGCTGAAAAATGCCTCTCTCGTCACTTATTACACAAGGTAAGAGTGTCGCACAATAGGCCAAGACAGACAATGGCTGCCCTGTTGGAAAGCAAAGAGGCATGCAGGAGAAATGCAAGGGAACCTTGGAGCTTGGGGCATTAGTAGACCCTGTGCCTTTTTGTGTCCAGGATGCACATGTCTCTGATTTGTGTCTGTTCACTTAATTTCTGAGTCAGGCAAAAAGTGGCTTCGGGAGAACCATCCATATCTGAAACACATAGGCTGTGTCTACATTGGCACCCCTTTCCGGAAAAGGGATGCTAATGAGACCCGTCGGAATTGCAAATGCCCCGGGGGATTTAAATATCCCCCGTGCCATTTGCATTTACATGGCTGCCGCTTTTTTTTTGGCTCGGGGTTAAGCTGGAGAAAAGCGCCAGTCTAGACACGATTTTCCGGAAAATAAACCCTTTTCCGGAAGATCCCTTATTCCTACACTTGAAAGTAGGAATAAGGGATCTTCCGGAAAAGGGTTTATTTTCCGGAAAATCGCGTCTAGACTGGCGCTTTTCTCCGGCTTAACCCCGAGCCGGAAAAAAGCGGCAGCCATGTAAATGCAAATGGCACGGGGGATATTTAAATCCCCCGGGGCATTTGCAATTCCGACGGGTCTCATTAGCATCCCTTTTCCGGAAAGGGGTGCCAATGTAGACACAGCCATAGTGTGGGCTTAGGAGAAAACACGTTTTTCATCTTTATTTACAGGGGCCAGGCTGCCTGCTGGGATTTGTAATTCCCATGTTTTTATATTAAGGATAAAGCCATCTGTGGTAATGCCAGGTTTCTCCAAAATGGAGCTTTGCTTTAAAAATCCTGGTGTGCGTGTGTGTGTGCGTGCGTGCACACGTGTGCGCGTGTATTTTTGGTGTCTTGTAGATTTGCCTTCCGAGTTTCGATGCTTTTGTGGGTTCACGTTGTCCAAATTTTTCTCTGCAACAATGAATAACCACAAAGACTAGAAATGTTCTGTTTTTGTGAATGGAGGCTGAGTCTCACATAATCCCATGACTCCTGGAGCTTGGGCTTTAAGAAACATCGGAAAGGTTGTGAGACTTGTGATAGGCTCGTGAGAGATGGGAGCACTCCTGCTTGGATCCGCTCCATTGCTGTTGTGGGTTCCGGGCAAGCTGCGGAGGCAGCTGGCGATGGGCCGCCCCGGCCTGTTTTAATCTGCTCTGTGTGTCTGTGTGCCTTGGCAGTTCTGATGAAGGGATTCTCATCAGCGGCTTGAAACCCTACACCAAGTATGAGTTTGCAGTCCAGTCGAACGGAGTTGGGATTGACGGGCCGTTCAGCAGCGTGGTGGAGAGTTTCACCCTGCCTGACCGTAAGTACCGCCATAATTGGGAAAAAATAGATCCCCAGACTCATGGAGAAGGCCAGTCCCACCCATGTGCCTTGCCCGCCAGTGGCCTCTCTAATGACTGTTCTCAGCTGCCAATTCTTTTGTTCCCACGGTGCACTCGGGGCAGATGGAGCGTACGTGTGCAGTGAAAGGCTCGGGTGTCCTCTTCCCTGTCACTTGTCACCCCTTGGTCCTCTTCTGCTTAGAGGCGTTTGAAAACACGTGAGCCATTCCAAAGCACAAGGAAGAGAGGCTGCCACTGGGCATGGTGAGCCCAGGAGAAAAGAATCAGAACTCAAGAGGAGCGACTGATATGAATCAGGGCAAACGTGCTTAGTTCAGATTTGGGTTTTCTTTTATTTGGGGGCAAGGTTCCCCCCAGAGGAATCCGGCTTCTAGTGAGAAATTGAGCTGCCCGAGGGCAGCTTGGAGCGATGGGCTAATGTGGTGAATGCCGACCAATGTCAAAAAGAGAGTAGCTGAGCCCAGCATGATGGGGTAGAGACCGTGGCAGGCGTTCAGACCTCCTGCTCCACCCTAAGGCTGCCAGCGGCTGAGCTCCCTTGGCTCTGGCCTACACTAGGGCTTTTCTTTTGAAATAATCCCTTGTAGGTCGAATTAAGAAGTGGAGCGTCCACACTCCCAAGCCTGTTGTTTTGCAATAAGGAGCCAGTTATTTTGAAATCTGTACCCCTGTTTTCCTCGGGGAATAGTGCTAATTTTAAAATAGTTATTACAAAACAGCGGCGGTCTGGTCACTCTGGTGCTGCTATTTCGAAATAACAACTCCCCAGAGTCATTCGAACGAATTACTTCCCAGTTCTTCCTGGGGCTCTATGTCGAGGTAGCGCGTCCACATTAATGGAACCTGCCTCGAACTCATTTCGAGGCTTCCCTGTAGTGTGGACACGCTAGTTCGATTTTGTTAAATCGGGAGTTAAGTCGATTTAAGTAATTTCGAACTAGTTTCCTAGTGTAGACGTGCCCTGAGAAGCACTGCTAGTTCCAGGAAGCCCAGGGACAGCCTTTCTTGTCCAGTAGCTACCTCCAGAGGCTGCTTTGGGAATGAGTTTACCGCCAGGGTGGCCTCCCCAGCTAGCATTCCTAAGCCAGCTGTGGTGCCAGGAGAGCTTGATGGGAGGGGAAATTCAAATCCAGAAGGATGCATGGGGTGCAGAGGATGAGAAAGGTATCCGCATATTTTTTATCCAGTATCTGTTACTGAGCTGTGCTGCTGCACCCGCGTTTTCCTGCTGTGCCTTTGCTCGCTGGGCGAGACAGGCAACTTCCTCCCCCTCTTGTTTGTGCTGCCGAGAGCAAGCCCTTCCATTCACTCCGAAGCGAACAGTGAGCAGCCCTGTTTGGGCACCATTCGCATCCACCAAAGTAGGTCCGTGTCTCCCTGGCACGTGCAGGTCACGTCCGGCCGCCAAGCTCCCATGGGCAAAGGCAGCGTTGGCACATGCCTGCTTCTGGGGTACCAACTTGGAGGGGTGGCCCAAGGAGCGGCGTTGTCACCGTTCCCCCTTTTGCTATCGGCACGCCCTTTCTCCCTCTTCAGGGCCGTCGACACCCCCCTCTGACCTCAGGCTGCATCCAATCAACCCGTACGCCGTACAGGTGCACTGGTGTCCCCCGGTCGAGCCCAACGGCATCATCGTGGAGTACGTCATCCTGTACAATGCGAATGACACGCAGCCTGACGACATGTGGACGCTGCTGAGGAAAGAAGGTGAGCCCCCGGCGTAGCTCAGGAGTGTGTCCGTTGGGTCCTGTCCACAGCAGAGGTGCATTGACTTTGATCCCAGGTGGGCACATGTGCCAATCCTATTAAATGTCAGTTCAAAATCCCCCCTTTGCCCTCCCCTGTCTGCTTTCTATCGGAGGGGTGGGGTCGTGTGTCTGCTGTCCAGAGACATCTAATGAGCTGGCGGGCAGATAACGTCAGACAAGGCTGAGCTAAGCTGCAGGTGAATTAGAAATACCAGCCGCAGGGGAGCCCCGCCACGGAGAGCGAAGCATGAGCACTGAGAAGAGACTCTTGTGGGAGAGGAGATGGGTTGAGAGAGAGCTGGCTTCGCTTGCCAGCCGCCTCTTTAGCCAGGCTCGAGTGCTCTCCGGATCGGAACTGCGGAGAAACAAGAGCCCACTGCGCGCGGAAATTTCCATTGACAGAGCGCCTGGGCTGTGGCTCAGAGATAAGAGAGGCGACGAAAGCGGCAGGGTCGGGCACGTTCGCAGCTGCTCAGAAGCGAGGCTCTGCGAGCTAGAGGCTGTGAGCACTTCGGCTTCCTGAGATCATCCAGAAAGCCCCCCGCCAAACAAGGTCGCGCCCGGGTGTATCAGTTTTCACTGACCGCGAACAGTGCTGGGGCAAAGCCGCTGGCGGGGGGTGAAGCTCCTGCCAGTGACACAGGTCGGCGGGTCTGCTCCATGCAAAGGGCAGTGAAAAGTTAAGAGCTCCCCTGCTCGTTTCTTGCGGTTCGTTCACCCACTGGCCTGAAGAGGGACCGCACTTTTCAATAAGCTGGGCGGGTACGACATCAACAGGGCGCACACTGCACGAGTTACAGCCTGCCTAACCTACAGCTGGGTCTCCGGGTGTAACTCCAGTGGGGAATCCGCTTCCAGCGGGGGTATTTCTAGTGGGATCGGTTCTCAGCCTTACTCTGTGTGTCCGTGACCTGGAAGAAAAGAACCGCTACTGAGGAGGGGGAGAGACGACCCAGAGCGTGGGGGAGGGGTAAGTAAGGAAGAGGATAAGTCCGGGAGAGAGCGATCTGGATTGCTTGATAAGCTGGATGCAGACAATCAATCTGCATTTAGCACGGCCCAACGCTAAGGTAGATAGCTAGGAACAAAGACTGGGGGCCTGCTTACCAGCTGGGGGGCACGAGTCTGGGCAGCAGGGACGTATGTCTGTATTACTATTGCTGTGGATTACCCTAATGCCCAGGAGCCCTGGGCATGGACCCCAACAACACTGTGCCAATCAGCTGTTGGATAGTCAGCTGACCACTGTGGCCAAAAGGCCTAATGCCGTCCTTGGATGCCCAAGGAGGGATACTGATAAATGGAGAGGGTTCGGCCAGGGCTGTCCTTAGGATTTAAAGGGCCCTGCGCAGTGCTGTTAAACTGGTGGCCCTATGTCCGATGGCAGCCCATAGCAGATGACAGTTTTTTCAAAGATGTGATTTTATGATCTTCAGCAACACGCTAATGACCTATTTTTAAAACAGATTTTAAACTCAGGTCCTGTCGACTAACACAGTACATTAGGAAACTGACAGCATATACCTGGGGTTGGCAAATGCCTGTTAAATGCCTTCATTACACCTAGACTGGCTCTTTCACAGGTTTGATGTTCTGCTAATAGCTCTGGCAGGCGTCTTCGCTTTTAAGTTAGCCAGATCCTCTCTGGAGGAGGTAGAGCCTCAGAACAGGGCTAGGAAGAGGCAGGTGGGTGGACACAAAGACCCAGTGCTGCCCCAAAATTTCAGGTGCCCTACACAACTGAGTCTTCTGCATCTTGGCAAGGACGGCTCTGGGTTCAGAGCTGAGCCACGAGAGTGAGTAAAGGACGTAAAGGGGGAAACCTGCCTTTCAGCGAGAGACACATGTAGCTCAGTCAGTTTAGCGTCCCAGGCAGGTTGCGGGGTGACTTGGCTGCAGTTGTTGAGCACTTCCACGGGGAACAGAAACGTGAGACTAGAACAGTGTTTCCCAAATGGTGTTCCACGGAACCCCAAATAAGGGTTCCACGAGAAAATTCCATTACAATAACATGTTATGATTTTTAAAAAATTAATATTTAAGCATTTATGAATGTTATTGAAAACAATTTCCATGTATGTTTTTCCATAAGCGTCCCTGTGTAATGCCAACCTAGCCAGAGAGTGGAGACCATAATGTCACTACTCAGTCAGTCAGTGGTGCGATCACCTGTTATATACCCCCATAAATCCCCCTACTCACTCTCAGGGAGCGTGGACCCCATGGGTGACCGAATACGAATATACTAGCACCGCGTCGGACAAAGTCGAAGCTTCAGCTGTCAAACTGGTTGCTTATTATTCTCCTTACTTATTTGTAGTGTACTTTTTCAGCTCTGTATATAAAACTGTTATTAGGGGCTTTGCAAAACTCTTTCAAGATTGAAAGGGTTCCGTGGCCACATAAAATTGGGAAACACAGACTAGAACCATCTCCAATGGCCGGCCTTTGAAACTAGATCCATTCAGACTGGAAATGTGGCACGTGTTTTTCATCGTGATGGTAACTAACGATTGGAGTCGCTTGCCAAGGGACATGGTGCATTCTCCCTTGCTGCAATGTAAGCCGATTGCTTCTTGTCCTGATTGTGAACCGTTAATAGCTACTCTCTGAGAATGCTTATCCGAACAGTTATGCACCCACCTTATAGTAGTACATGAGTGAAGTTTCACACATGCTGGACCTGGCTGCTAGCAAGCGTAGTCGTTAGCGAAAACTTAACTGCTGTGGGGTAGAGAAGGTACCTCCTTACGGTGTGCTCCTTATGGTGTAGCAAAGAGAGCGGAACACAGTTCTGCAACCCCGCTCCCCCAGCATTTAAACTCTAACCATTAAACCTTCTTGCCTGCCTTTTTGGACAGGAAATATTTTCAGCACGGAGGTACATGGCTTGGAGAGCGACACCAGGTATTACTTTAAGATGGGAGCGAAGACAGTGGCAGGATCTGGGCCATACTCGAACGTAAAGGACGTGCACACCCTCCGCGAGAAGCTGTCAGGTATTCCAGTGTCTGCTACCCACGGCACAGCCTCGAGGAGTCACGCCGAGCGTTGAGCCACGCTCCTTGCGTGCCCTTAGTTAGTCGTGCCAGGTAGCTGTGTGTACAGGCGAATGCGTGAAACCACCTGATCCCGCCATGTGCTGCACACGGTATGAACATGCTTAAACCAGTGCAGGGGATCGAGACAAATTCAGTGCACACAGCTCCTGGTGGCAGTTGCCTTTATGTGTCTCGGGGCAGGATTTGGCTCTAATTCTCCACTTTGTGGCAGCCACGTTAGCTCACGTAGCGTTAAGGCCGCTGTATTTTAGACAGGTGCCGGTTTGTATCTGCTTCTGCGGTCACTGCCAAGTACTTCTTCTAATAGTGTGCATATTGGTGTGTGTTTTACGGGTCCCGCTGGAGGTCAACTCGTCCCATTTCCTCTGGGCTTTGGGGAATACTAGATCTCAATCAAGTATCAGAGGGGCGGCCGTGTTAGTCTGAATTTGCATGAACAACGAAAAGTCCTGTGGTACCTTATAGACTAACAGATTTATTGGAGCATAAAAAGCACAAAAGCTTATGCTCCAATAGATCCGAATCAGTAATCGGTGCCTATAATAAACACTCCCAAAGTTGATCGCGTCAGATGCACTGCGTCCCTTTCCTATTAGAGCGCGAGACACTGATCATCTCTGTCCTTCACCTACTAGATGTTCTGGACATCCACTCGGTCACCGGGATCATCGTGGGAGTCTGCTTAGGTCTCCTCTGCATACTCTTCTGTATGTGTGCCAGCTTCCGCAGCAGCAAGCAAAGGTATGCATTGCATTTCTGGACAGCAAGTACCTTGCAGTTTCTTTCCCACATTGAGAGAGAACAATTGCATATCAGGCTCTTACAGATGCAGGCTGTAAGAATAATCTAGGCCATTCAGTATAAAATTCCTTCTCCGTAATGTTGCTTTGAGGGGCGTGCCTGCCAAGGAGCGCTTTCTAGTGAATGTCGTCTCCTCTGCTGGTGTTGCATGCTGTTGCAGTTGCTTCTCTTTAATTAGTATTGTTAGAGTAATTATCTTTGGACTCAAATAGAACGCTAATTGCCAGCAAAGAACATTGTCTTTTCCTCGTGTCTATGGACGCGCAGTACGGCTCTGATGTGTTTGGGTGCCCGGCTGATCGTTAAAGACAGGCCCCGAGCTTCTTGCTGGGAAGTCTAGTACAGGATTCCCTTTCTTCCTGACGTAACGGAGCGTGTCAGCAGGGTCAGACCAGATCCTCAGTGGGGGTATGTTGGCCGAGCCAAGTTCTACTCTCTGTCAGCACCTGCCTGGAGGTGCCGAGAAAGGAAACCATTTGAAGTCCAACTTTTGACATAAGCTGTGGTTGTCGAGAGAGGCCTTGTGAGTAGGGATGTTAAAAAGCGTTTGGTTTTTTCAGTAAACGTGTAACCCCTGACATTTTCACCGTTTACACGTTTACCGTGGTGCTGTATCAGAGACAGCGAGGGGTGGGGGGGGCGTGTGTGTAACCAGGAAGTTTACCCATGAGCCCATTTAAATGTGCACACTATCACCTCCCTAATTGTGAGCGGGTGGATTGAGCACAGGGCTGGGAACTAGGAGCTCCCGAAGTCTCATTCGGGCTCTGCCCCAACCCACCCCCTCCCACAGCCTCTGACATGGGGATGACGAAACGTGTCAGCTCCCCGCGGGCGCACTCATCGTGAGGTGAATTCTAGCCGTTTTGCTCACGTTACAGGGCACGAAGCACCAGCCGGTGGGATCCGCTGGCCGGGGGCAGCTTGTAGAGACTGCACTGTGCTGGCGACAGTGCCCTGGCTCAGGGTGTATTGGCACAGGGCGCAGGCATTGGGTCTGAACCCTGAGCCCCGCACCCCGCGGAGCAGACCACAGCCGAACAGGTCCAGAGCTGGTGCGAACAGCCCAAGCAGAGAGGGGCACTTTGGTCCAGCAGCTACCAAATGCTCACAAGCTGGGACAGGAAGCACCTTGAGCTCTGATTTTGGCTGGCCAGGAGAGCACAGAGCTGTCAGCCCTCCGAGGTGCAAACCTTTGTTTGTTTCCTGTCCCCTGCAGGGAGGCTCTGCCAGGCCTAGATTCTCAAGCAGCCGGGAACCACCCCTCCTATCACCGGGGCAGGCAGGGACCGCCCGGGCCCAGCGCCAAGTCCGATTCTCATGAGCTGGAATCGCTCATGTCCCCGCTGTCTGAAGAGGCGCCCTTGCCCCTGCTGGACATCACGGAGCTGACGGAAGTGCACAGCCTCATCCATGCTGGCCTCCCCGATGATGGCGTTCGCGGGATAAGAAAGGTATTGCCCGTGCAAACGCTCCCCGTCGCCTGGCTCAGATAGGCCTCGTAGCCTGGAGCGGCATCACGGAGCCACGCTGTGGTGCACCGAGTCAGGGTCTGATTTCCCCTCTGGCTCTGGAAAGTGCTGGCCTGAATGCCATGCTAGCAAGGCGGGCTCCGGAATCAGCCGAGTATCCGTCACTAGAGAGTATGTCCTCTCGTGTGGCTATCCTGAGCTATACCCCCACCCCAACACGCTGCTTTTCCTATCCAGCTGTGGTAAAAATTCCCCAGTTCCTACAGAGAGACCATCTCCTCACCAGTGACATACCCCTGCGATGCTTTGGGGGTCCACCCAGACTATTAAGGGGGTGAGTCACCACCTGCCCTGTAGCTCTGGATGCTTCTGTGCTGGGCAGTTTTGACTCAGATCTCCACCACCAGCAGCCGCTCTCAGCACAACGACCTCCCCATGGCCTCCACCAGCCTGATTCCGCCTTGCCAGGTGACATCAACAGCCCTTCCAGTCCTGAGTCACTGCAAACCATCTCCCTTGCAGCATCCAGCCCCCCTCACAGGAGTTACCATGTTCACTGACTCCAGAGAGACAGCGCGCACGCCAACCTGCTAGAAGAGCAGAAGCTGCTGCCCTTAGGCTCAATACAAAATACTGAGAGTAATACAAGAGTAAGGCCTTGTCTTCACTCCGTGGAAGATTGACGCTGCCACGATCGATCTTCCGGAGCTCGATTTAGCGAGTCTAGTTAAGACTCGCTAAATCAAACTCAGAGGGCACCCCTGCTGGCTGGCAGCCGGTACTCCTGCTCTTGTGAGGAGTAATGGAAGCCAACGGGAGCGTTTTTCCCCCATCGGCCTCCTTCTGTGGGGTTGCCGCCAAGCTGGTGTAGCTGGAGTTGCGTACATTTAAACCAAGCTGCCAAGTCTAGTATAGACCTGGCCTATGTCTGTTAGCAAAGGGCAGCGATGTAAGTGATAGGCAAGCAAGCATAGAAGACGCAGATGTGGTTCCAAGTCCAACCAAACAAAGCACCCTTTCTGCTGACAAAACCTCCCTCTCAGCACCTTACACCTTTAGTCCAAGGAGGTTTCTCACTCATATTATGTGTCCAGCAACTCTGGCCTTCCAGGCTAAGAGAATGCAGCTCTCAAGGCTTGAAGGGTGCTGTACCCCATTGTCCTGCAGTGGTGGACACCTCAAGTCTTTGGACGCATCAAGTCTCTCAGCAGGTCCTGATATCCTCAAGGTTCATGTCTGTTTGGAAGCCCTGCTGGGGGTTTTGCTCGCTGTGTTCTCCAGGGAGCTGATGCCGTGTTAGTTTTGGCAGTCCCCTGGGAGTTTGCAATGCAAATGGTATGCCTGTGGTCCCCGAAGTAAATGGACGTTCTTGCTTTGTGGTTGCCTCCAAGAGGTGCTGGCCATTCTCCTTTAGAAAAACCTGCTTTGCCTCCTTGGTTTGTTTACCAGCTCCAAGGCAGAGAGTATCCAGAATGTCACGTACAGCGTCACATTCGTACACTTAGTGTTGAGTTTAACGGCCAAAGTGGGGTTCAATCTCAAGGCACCTTTTAAATAAGTATCATGACAAGAGAGAGTGAGGTGTATTGAGCTGCTCCATCCAGGTGAGTTTTAGGATTTCAGGCTAGAGGGCCCTTTGCCACCTGCTCTTAGGGTCACATCCAGTCTCCTGTGTGCTGGAGAGACCCAACAGAAAAGCAGGGGAGAGTCCCGGAGCTCAGTCTGCTACACTCCTGTGACGCTGATCCATAGATGCTGTTGTAGCTTCCAGACGGGGTAGATCCTCTGGCTGCCAGGATACCGTCTTGAGGAGGGACGGAATAGTGGCTGGAGCTTCATAGTTATAGATTCGTGACTTGTGGCTTCTTCTGCCTCAGTTCAGCTCCACCTCCTCACTGGAGCACAACTCTGGGGCTAGAGCAGAGAGTCTGGCCTCGCAGAAGTGCAGTTCTTCTGCTCCATCCAGGTCCTTCGTGCCCAAAATGGAGGAGGGTCAGGGTTTGTTCCAGGCTTCTGTATCCAGTCCAGATGTCCCAGTGGCCTTCGCAGCTAGAGAACCAAGGGGAGAGACAAGGGGAAAATGTCTCACCTTCTCAATCTACTCAGCACCATCATGAGTCCGCTCGGACCAAACCATGATCGGCCCCTAGAATTTCATAGGGTTGAGACTAACCGAGTTCTGTAGGAAACAATTAGGGATTTTTAGAAATTAAACCTACAGCATTTAAAAGAGACATAATAGGCTTTCTTTAGCTTTTTCCATCCTGTGGAATGAGGACATAGGAGAGATTTCAATCTCCACACTATTCTATGAGATGGTTAAAAATACTGTATAGGAAGGTCCCAATGACCTAATTTTGGACTTTCCCATAAGGGTTCTGCTGAAAGCCAGACCTTACTGTCCTGCATCAGCCAGCCGTGCAAATTGTGCAGAGGGATTCCCCTTCTCCAAAGGCCAATAGACGTGCAGAATTGTGCTGGGGTTTGGCCTGCCTATAGGCCAGTGACAATATCATTTCCGATGCTGATGTTTGCTAGCAATGAGCCTAATGAGGCCTTTCTCAAAGCCTGATGCTATTCCGAACCGGGCCTGGGTTTGGACCAGGCTTTGGTGTTGATCAGACTGATCCAAAGGCCAATAAGTCAATATAAAGGCTCCCCTTCGGCTTCTGTAGAATTTGAAGGAGGTTCCTTCTTAGCTCCGTGAGCTCTTCTGTAAAGCACGTCTCTCAGAAGACCCCGCAGTATCATATTGCGATTCTACGAAGGAGAATTTCCTCCAGCCTTTTGGTGGACTCCACTTTGTTGTCTGTCTGGTCGTTACTCTGGTTCCTTTGCAAACCGGGTGCAATTTCATCACCTTGACCAAGAAACTTGACTTTCCTCTTAAGACTAATAACTGTACCAGGATCTTGTGGCAATCTGTAAATGAAAAGTGTGATGCTCTACCTGAAGCAGACATGATGGGCTTGATGCAGAAATGATGGGGTGAGATTGTAGGGCCGGTGTTAGGCAGAAGTTTGATCATAACGGTCTCTTCTGGCCTTAGGATCAGACGATGCTGGCAGTTTCTCTTTGGATTGAAGCGATAAGAGTCTCCAGTTAGTTAAAAACACAGACAATGACACTCAAAAGGGAGAGCATTGGGAGCAAAGCCAGAATGCTGGGTCTGAGCATTTGTACTGAGACATATCTGAGGCTTTTTATAGAGGAAATTGGTTTGACCTGTTTGATATTGTGGATGCTCTCCGGAGCCAATCCCTTTTGTGAATCTTGCTAAAATCTCAACCTCCGTGAGATCTTGCGGCCATGAATACCACAGATTAACAATTGGATTTCCAATGCAAATATTTGTGTTAATGAATTTAAGTGTGCTTTCTACAATACGCTCTCCAGTATTCATTTAAAATGGGCCATTTATATAAAAATGGCATTCTCTAGCATCGGGCGAATGTAGTTGAAGGGAGCTTGTGTTTTTATTTGTGGAGCTATGTGTTTGGAGGCATTCTCTGAGCATTGTGTAATTTGCCTGACATTGCCTCATCTTTCTCGTCTCCCTACCCCCCCTTTCTCTCTCAAGCTTGTCTGAAGCATTTCATTCCATTAGGGAACCTTTAATTGGCCTAATTTAGTTAATCTGTTTATGTCTTTCTTTGTAGCCCGGGGAGAGTGTGTAAGGTAATTAGTAGGTTGAGTAAAACAGGCGCATTGTGAGCACCTGGGATCTCATGTTTGCATCAATCATACGCTTGTATGTCACTGGTGTTAAGGTGTATTCACGAGATCAAACTTTAATCAGATCTAAGTGCCAAATAAAGGAGATGTGCGAGAAGCTAGTTCTGCAGCCCAGCCTTGGAGAATTTGCCTCTCCAGGGGAGAATGCGCAGACACATTCTGTTGGCTACCTCACCTCCTTATCTGCCTTAACCGTCACCAGGGTCCGAGCGATTCATCTTGGTTTCCCAGATGTCCCATCGGATCAAGACTAACAGGAGAGAGAGCATGAGGTTTCCAGTGTCGCGAGCACAGCTCATGGCACTGTTAGTATCTAAGGGTTGGGTAACAGCCCTTTCTATGAAATGAGTTACGTAGCCCCAAAGCTCTGATTCAGGGGTCCTGCAGGTAAAACTCTCATGATTGAGCGACTTTTTTTCCAGCCCTTTGGGGATAATCCATCCAGACCTCTCTGTAGATACTGCCCCAGAATTTAATTTCTAGAAACACAAGATCTGCTCCCCGAAGGAGCGTCAGCTACAGCAATGCCAATCACAATCTGTTCCGGATTTGTCTGGGGAGAATTTAGGGTCCCAAAAGCTCCGTGTTGGAGTCCCATCTTGTGGCTGGGCAGATGGATTATCAAGGATCAAAGGTTTGCAAAGTGGGCAGCCAGGCCATAATTGAATCTGCTGAGAAGGAGACTGGCTAATGCGCCTACATCCAGCATTTCACTTTCATTCCTCATCTGCTAGAGCTGCTCATAGCTCAGCCGGCCCTGGCCGCCTGCGTGGTGGAACTGTCTATGCTATGGAGACGCACGCGTTCTATTCAAGCACTGTGATGTCTTCTGCAGCCCCTGGTTTTGATTCCCAGTCTCCAGAAATCCAGACTCCCCAGTGAAATTATAGCGAAGACCCTCCCGGACTCAGCGAGCAGGAGAAATGTGTGAAAGTTAGCTTCTGGAGGCCAGAAGTTTACAACCTACTAAGAACCTGGACCCCAGAACTCAGACAGGAAGAAACTTTCTTCTTGTACACGGATTCAATCAGTAATGCATTTCTGGGGCATCTGTGTTACCCACTAGACAGCAAACTGTATGTCTTAACCTGGAGGGTGCCAAGGAGAAGTGCACATGCTTGGGGCAAAATCTGCCACCAGATGGGATACATTAAGGCTCACAGCACTGGCCTCACACGGGGCAGGGAAGGGAGGCTACCTCCTGAAAAGGCTCATACAGCAGCAGTGCACTCTGGAGTCTCAGGAGG